AAGACCTGGTCCCTCTCGGTAGGGTAACAAGGGAACGTGTTCAGTGCAGATCAGTGAGTAAGCACAAGCCCGCCTTGTTTCAGTGCTTTTTATCGTGTGAAGCATTATGTAGGACATAACAAATATAGTTATAAACCAAAAAATATGGCAAAACTGCCTTTATGTTTGCCCTTAAAATTACCTTTATTGGAAGCCTTTATTTCTTCATATGCCTTCGGGCTATACTATCTGGTGTCCTCACCTTTCAAACTGGAGGATTCCTTTTAGCATTTTTTTTAGGGTAGGTCTGGTTGTAATGAACTCTTTTAGATTTTGTTTATCAGGACATGTCTTGATTTCACACTTGTTTTTGAACAACAGTTTTGCTGAGTGCAAGATTCTTGAATGACAGTCTTTTCCTTTAAGTGCTTTGTCACCCCACTGTCATCTGGCCTCCATGGTTTCTGAGGAGAAATTGACAATTGGTCTTCTTGGGGTTCTCTTGTATATGACAGTTCACTTTTGTTGTTGCATTAAATTTGTTCTCTTTATCTTTGGGGTTTGTCACTTTGATTATATTATATCAGCATGAATGTCTTTGGTTTCATCTTATTTGGAATTTGTTGAGTTTCATGTATGTACAAATTTAATACGTTTGATCAGGTTTGGAAAGTTTTTCCATTAATTCCTCAGATGTTCTTTCTGCCCTCCATCTGGGACTCCCATAATGTGTATATTATTTCATTTAATGGTGCTCCACAGCTCTCTTGTGCTCTGTTCATTTTAATTTAATCTTCTTTCTTTTCTTCAGACTGGGTCATTTCAGTTGTCCTATTTTCAAGTTTGCTGATTCTTCTGCCAGTTCAAATCTACCTTTGAACCCCGCTAGTAAATTTGTTACTTTAGTTATTTTTCTAAGCTCCAGAATTTGTGTCTGGTTTCTTTTTATAATTTTTCTCTCTTTGTTAGTATTCTCATTTTATTCACATGTTGTTTTCTTGGTATCCTTTAGTTCTTTGTCCATAGTTTTCTTTAGTTCTTTGAATATATTTAAAACAGTTGTTTCAAAATCTTTATCTGGTAGGTCCAGTACCTGATCTTCCTGAAGGATGGGGCTGTTGGTTTATTTTTTGTTCCTTTGAATGGGCCATCCTTTCCTGTTTCTCTGTATGTCTTATGATTTTTTTTTGTGTGTGTGTATAAAATGGTACATTTGAGTAATATAATACAGTGGTACTATAACTCAAGTACTCCTCCCTTCCTCAGTGATTGCTACATTTCTTTCTTTCTTCCTTTTTTCTTTATTCTCTCTTTTATTGTTGAAGACTGTGGTAGTCTGTTAGCTTAGTCACTTTTTCAAACATTCTATAAATCCTTGCCCTGTTGCCGTGGTCTTCTGACTGTTCACCGGTGTTCTGACAAGGCAAGTGCTGCATTTTTTTTTAATCCACTTTTCTCTGTGGGAGGAGGGGAGTGTGGAGCTTCCTATTCTGCCATCTGGATACTGATATCTTGACTGTTCTTTATTTTTATTTAGTAATTTAATTTCTCTATTTAATAAATACAGGAGAAGTAGTAAGTTGGGGAAATTTGCTGAATCTTACTTTCATAAGCTATTGTCAGTATTAAAGCAATTTGAAGGCATTCTTGCAGCTTTATTGAGGTAATAACTGACATACAGTAAACTTCAGATATTTAAAATATACAGTTTGTCTTTTAATATTATATACATACCTATGAAAGTATCACCACAATAAAGATAACAAACATTTCCATTTTCCTCTTGTTCTTTTGTAATTTATCTTCCCTCATTCCTTCTCTTCCCCCTGCAACTACCAATGTGCTTTTTGTCACTAAAGATTAGTTTGCATTCTCTAGAGTCCTTTTTACAAAAGGCATCATACAGTGTGTAACTTTTTTTGGTCTGGTTTATTTTATTCAGTCTAATTATTTTGTGATTCTTCCATGTTGTTGTATGAATTAATCATTCCTTCCTATTTATTGCTGAACAGTATTCCATTGTATATTCTGCAATTACACTATAATTTGTTTATCCATTTACATGCTGATGGACACCTGCAGGTGTTTCCTATTAGAAATAAAGCTGATATGAATATCTGTGTACAAATCTGTGTGGACATAGACATTTCTTCCTTTTGGATAAATACCTGGGAATTGAAGGCTATATGTTTATCTTTTTAAGAAACAGCCAATTTTACAAAGTGATTATACCATTTTAAAGTCCCATTAGCAGCATATGAGAGTTGTAGTTGCTATTTTGGAGTCACTTTTGCCTTGATAGACCTTACTGATATATTTGGGGAACAAGGGTGCAGAATATTTAGACGTTTTCTTCCCAGAAACTTAAAGAAATATTTTTGGAGAGCTTATGAAATCTGGAGCACCTTTTAGTAAGACATGATCACTGCTTTAGTCCTTTTATTCTCATAGTATGAGAAATGGGAGAAAACATGTTCTGAAATTTGGATCTCTTAAAGAGGAAAAAAAAATAGTTCCTGTACTTGAAAAGTTTGTTTTTCTAAGTGATTGCTAAGATACTGTGAATCAGACATTAGGTTTATACCATTTAGTATGACTAAACGTGGACTAGGAGCTCTGGTAGCATAGGGCCTAAGGCACTTGACTGCTAACCAGAAGGCTGGTGGTTCACACCCACCAGCCACTCCTCAGAGGGAGGGTTGGGCAATCTACTTCCGTAGTGATACTGCCTCGGAAACCCAAGGAGGGGTCGAGGGGTCGCTATGAGTTGAGTCTGACTTGATGGCACATAACAACAACAACAACAAATGTGGACTTAGATGTAACTCTGGAAATCTCTTCTTACAAACAGGTCAGGGCATAAATAGCTTATGTAAGAATTTTCTTGGAAAAATCCTGTAAGTCATTTGTAAGGTACCAGATATCTCTCATGAAGTTCAGTACAGTTCTTTTTTTCTTCCAGCATCAGAAGAAATCAGTGTTTATTTGCTTACTCCAGTGAAGTAGTTAATTTGCATTTAGGGGCTATGTGTAATGAAAAATAATCTGTAATACTGGAATTCCATGTAGCTTGATGTGAGGCATGTGGAAACTGACATAAATTAAGAGAACAGCAGGTTCATATCTTAAGTTCACTCTTGGTCATAAGCATATGTGTTGTTGAGCAGAATGATGGGTAGAATTGCCTATATTATTTCAATTATTTCTCTATTTTTCTCCTTGTGTGTAAATGGTTGAATTCTAATAAAGTGAATGCATATATGATGTGACTGCACTATAATGAAATTATGATAATAGCTGAAGCCAAATGCATATAATAATAATAATAATAATAATAATATATTAACAGTAGGGTGGCTGGTAGGAATCTTTATCAAATCTATGCCCCTCAGCCCTTTTTAACTTAACTGTAGGAGATTAGAAAGGATAAGTGATCATGAGTATCTATTCAGTGTTTTTTTCCCTTTCTTTTCCTGATACCCTTGGGTTGTCTGCTTCTTTCCCCTTTTACTTGTGTCATCTGCATTCCTTTGTTGTATTCCCAACTCCCTTGTACCCTCCCATTTCTTTAGTGTCAGTAGTAAATGGTTTTCCCTTTAGAATTTGTAAAAAACCATAAATACAAATAGAAAGCAGTGGTAAAATTATATTGTGTAGCTCTGTTGTATATATGTAAGATAAATTTTAAAATGACTTTAAAAATGGTGGTCCACTCTCATGAACCTGAACTGTTTATCAGTATTCCAAATACTTTTACATAAAGATTTAATAAAACTTTAGTTGCCTAATTTGTATAATGCATTGTTTGATTTTCATATTTTAAGAATTAAAAATATGGATCTCTTTCACTAGCCTGTGAAATTAAGAACTAATGAGACAGTGTGGCATAGAAGAAAGTTTACTAGACTTAGTGTCACAAGTCCTGAGCTCCAGCCCTGTCTTTAACTCACTTTGTAATCTTGGGCAAGTTACATTTCTCATCTGTAGAATGTGGGGCCTGGACTTGATATAGAAAGTTATGAAGATGTCCCTCTGGGGGAGGGGAAACAAATGTACAAAATAAGTTGTTTTGTTTTAAAAACATTGTTTTAAATCTTGCTATATAAGTTATCCCTTAAAGTTAATGTGGCTTTACTCGAAATGATGTATAATCACTTTTGAATTTGTGTATATCTCATCTGTTGCAGGATGCTTTAATCTGGATCCCAATAGAGTTTTGGATGTCATTTTAGAAGTGTTTGAATGCAGGCCAGAACACGATGACTTCTTTATATCTTTATTAGAATCTTACATGAGTATGTGTGAACCGCAAACACTGTGTCATATTCTTGGGTTCAAATTCAAGTTTTATCAGGTAATAAAAAACATATATATATGTACATATATATATATATATACACACACACACACACACAGAGAGAGAGAGACACACACACACACAGGTTAATCTTATGATTTTATATGTACAATTTAATTTTGAATTTTATTTGTAATTAATTGGTTTCAGCTCATTCTAGCAGAGAGATAGATAAATGGATAGCTAACAGTAGAATGTAATAAGTAGTATGTCAGTGGTATGAATGATGTGATGTGAAAGCCTAGAGGAAAGCATGATTAATTTTTGCCTTGGGAGAGAGAGCGTCAGGGAATATTTTATAGACATTGACCACCTTTAATTTGGTTATTGAAGGATGAGTAGGAGTTTGTTGAAAGTTTTCTATCCAGAAGTAACAAACAATGTGAGAGTGAATGTGCGGGTGTGAATGTACGTGCATGTTGAAGGAATGGTATATGATCTGATATGGCTGAATTGTTAGCTGTGGATAAAAGAAGGGGCAAGAATCAAAGGTAGAAAGTTAGGCTTGTTTGTTAAGGGATATAATGCTGTGTTAAGAGTTAGGATTGTATTGTATAAACAGTAGCCATTCAAATTTTTATGGATATGAATACATATTTGAGGCATATCTTACATCATTTTCCATTTAAACCACTACAATAGATGTGTAACTATTCTCTATGGCTCGTTATTTCTCCTTCAATTCATCTTCCATATTATTGCTACTGTTACTTTCTAAAAGAGATATAATTGAGGCACTTCACCATTCAAAATCTTTTGCCTGTAGGATGAAAGTCAAATTCCTGAATGTGGTAGTAAAAGCTCTTGACAATCTAGCCCTGTACTTCCTTTCCAGCCTCATTAATCATATATATTTTTTTCTCAGATCTTATATTCTAGTCATCAGATACCTAGCCATTTCTTGAACTTAGGTATAGGTATTGTTGTGTGAACCTTTATTTATGCAGTTCCTTATAACTAGAGAACTATTCTTACCCAATCCTCTCACCTCTCCTTTCTTCATCTTGTGAATTCCTGTTTGTTCCTTAAGATCGAGTGATAACTTGTTCTGTAAAGATATGACTGACAGGTCACCAATGCAGAATTATTCACTTCTTAATCTGTATTCTCACAGGACTGGACACTGCTTCTACTGCTTATCATGTTATGTTAGAATAAACTATGTCTTATCTTTTTTGTCAGATTATATGCAATTTATATCAGGTTCTATGTTTTACTCATTTCTAGAGATTAGTTTTCTGCTTAGCCTAGTAAAACTCACTAAATGTAAATGAGTGATCTGTGTTTTAGGAAGATAATACTCTAGTTAGTAGATATTTTGGAAGATTTTAATGTAATAAGGCCTCCATTGTCCTTTTGGTGTAACTCTACTTATTTGTCTGTCTGCTTAGGATGATACAATAGTCAAGAAATACGTATTTATTGAGTGTTTATTATATGGTGTTGCTTTGCTAGGCACAGGACATGCTCTGAAGAGGAGGAGTATCTATTCTTGACCCCTTGGAATTTAAGTTAAGCTTGTAAGAGGATTCCTTTTAGGATTCTCAAATAATACATCACCTACTGTTTCTGTGTCTACTTTCATTTTCCATTCCCTGGGATGTTCCAGAAGATAGACGAGAAAGCAGATCAGAGCTTAAACGTATATAGCACTTTGAGGCCCAAACAAGACACATGGTAGGTTTTTTGGGCAAATTCACTACACCTTCATTTTTGTTCAAAAATTAAAGGAGCATACTCTTAATTAAGGGAAAGAGAGAGTCAAGTATTCCATTAAGTTTTTGAAGGCACTATAATTACTTTGGGTTTAGAAACATTAAGCCAACTGCTGAAGTGACAAGGTGGCTAAAATTTGACTTGGGCATGATGAATTAGAATATAAGTTAGGGCTTTGGAGACTAACTTTCAGAGCAGATCACAGTGAATAATGATGACCTACTGTATAAAATCAAGTACTGTTAGTTGAATGTGTGTTTTAGAATTGAAAAATTCTTTATATATGAAAATATTCCTCATGATAATATAAATATTCTTGAGCTGAAAATAGAGTGGTTGACAATATTTAAATAATATTTTTTGTGAGCATTTTTCTTATATAAGTAGTACCCAAGCAAGAAGCATTTGATTTAGAAATAACTTGTTCTCTGAAAGAGTAACTCCTGTGTTGCTCTTGTGCAACACCATTTTCCCTTGTTTCTGTTGTCAGAGCTATGAGGCTGTGCAGTTTTAAGGGCCACTGAAGGTAAGGGGAGAATTTAGATAATTTGTGGTTTGGAAGGTAAAGTAAGGAAAACTATGAAAATCAAGAACTGCTTAGAGCATCTAACCTTGGGAATAGGTTCCTAGGCATGTATGGTCTTTCTACAAAGGGCCTAACTCCACCCTTCTTCTCTCTGTCAGCCTCTCAGCCTCAACCCATATTCTGACCAGTTGAGAATTATTTGGATTTAACAGGCTTCCTTTTTTAATGCTAGTACTTCTAGGCAGAGCTCATCATTCCAATTTTCATGTCAGTAAGAATCATTTTATTCTAGCTTCCAGCTGTAATCAGATGTACTGGATACTGTGACTTAGAAGGATGATGGAAAATTTAGGCAGTTTTAGAGCATATGAACATTTTGGAGGATAGGGCAGCCACATCTACTCTGTTCTCCTATTAAGGAAATTGCTACAAGAGAGGATTTAGGGACAGCATGAGGAACCATACAAGGGACAGGGAGAATGGAGTCTTAGAAAGTATGAGAGCACTACAAAACAAACTTGGCTGTAGCTGTCTTGCAACAAGAAAGAGAAAGGAAATAATTGCTCTCACCCATGTCATAGCCCTTTGATATTTAGACTCAAAACACAATAATAGCAGTAATCGTGGTACCATGGTTAGGCTCTGTTACACCCCAAATTCATTCATTTAAGAAGTATTGATTGATTGCCTGTTGTGTGTGAGGCACTGTTCTAGGTGCTGTGGCTATCTCTGTAAAAAAAACAAAACAAAACAAAAAAAAAAAAAACAACAAAAAAAACCCCCAGAAATCCTTGCCTTCATGGTCCTTACAATCTAAGTAAATTACATGATGGTGTGTTAGAAAGTGATCAGTATGATGTGACAAAAAAGAAAATATAGAACAGGATATGGAAGATTGGGACTGTTGGAGTGGTAGGTTGTAATTTTAAATAGAATAGTGAGAATAGACTTCATTTAGGAGGTAAGATTTAAACAAAGACTTGAAGGATGTGAAGATGTAAACTGTGAATATCTGGGGAAGAGCCCCTAGGCAAAGGAAACAGCCAGTTCAGAGGCCCTAGAGTGGGCATATCTGTGTATTTGGGAACAGGAAGGAGGACAGTGTAGCTGAATTAGAGTGATTGAGTGGGAGAGAAGTAGGAGATAAGATCAAAGATGAGGGAACAGATCACGTAGGGCTTTGTCAGCTGGTGTAAGGTTTTTGACTTGGCTACTGAATGATGCCAGTGGAAAATTTTGAGCAGAGTGATAGGACCTTACTTAGTTTCTATTTTCGGTTCTCTTTTACTTTTTCACTTTTGTTATGAACATTTTCAAACATACAGAAAAATTGAATAGTGTAGTGAATATCCATAACCTATCACCTAGGATTAAGTTTATTAATGTGCTGCCATACTTTTTAAAAATATTAATTTATATTACACATATCATGAAAGCGCTCTCCTAAATATACCATAGTTTGCGCTTTTAAAAAATAAGGACGTTTTTCTATATAACCATGACACCAATTTCATACCTAACTAGATAAACAGTAATTCCTTACTATCAGCTCAGACCACAGATTTCCCAGATTGCCCCCAAATGCAGTTTACAACTGGTTTGTTCAAACTTTGATCCCATCAGAGACTACACATTGTATTTGGTTGTTATGATTCTTCAGTCTTTTTTTAATCTAGAATAGGGCACCCCTTTCCTTTAATCACATTCGTTGTTGAAGACCATTCCTTTAGAAGACTCCACCTTTTGGATTTATCTAATTGCTTTTTCATGCTTGTTTAATTTGTTCTGTGTCTCTTGTATTTTTTATATACTGTGAGTTAGGTCTGGAGGCTTGATAATGTTCAGGTACAATACTGAGTGGCAAAAATATTTTATAGGTTGTGTTTTATGTTTCACATTGCGTAACATCTAGTGTCAGTTTCACTTTTAATGGTTCAATAAGTTGGTGGCTGTCAATTCCCTCCATTATACATTTATATGCCATCTTGGCAATGACAGCAAGTTATCTGCAAGTTGATATTTTGCTGCCATGTCAATATCCAACCTTTCTTAACCTAACATTTATATGGTATAGATTTCATGGGTGAGCCTTGCTTGAATCAATTATTTTTTGTTGTTAGATTCTGTTGAATGGGTTCCACCTCATAGTGACCTTTTGCATAACAGAACGATGAGAGAACACTTATATGCTTAGGGGTTCCAAATTATTGATATATTTTATCATGCGTTCTACATTATTGATGTCATTCTTCTGTTAAGATGAGCCATCTCTTACCAGCTCAGGCTTGTTGGTTATCCTGGAGTACATGCAGTTCCTACTGGAAAGGCAGGACAAATGCTCCCCCCCCATTAATTACCAACTATCAGAGTGGCACAGTACCATAGGCATTTGACTGCTAACCGGAAGGTTGGTGGTTCAAACCCACCAGCTGTTCCATGGAAGGAAGATGGGGCAATCTACTTCCATAAAGATTTACTGCCTCAGAAAGCCAATGGGAGTTGTTATGAGTTGGAATCGACTGGATGGCAGTGAGTTTTTTTTTTAAAAAAGAGTAAAGAGTTTAATCGTTACCTCCAGTGGTAACATGAGTGGGGGCTGTGAGAGAGAGAAAGAGAGAGAAACAACGAATGTACAAGTGCAAGTTGACTTAGATTTTTAAAGGGTCAATCTGATTGTGGTAGCAGTGGAAGTTTATCACATTCTGGATATATCTTGAAGTTAGAGCCAATAGTATTTGGTGGTGATTGGTATGAG